AAAAAAAAAAAAAGGTGCATTGTGCTTCATTATATTACAGCATAAGTCACATAATTGTTTTTCCTACTTTTAACAATGTTAAGATTAATCAGTAAGTTTATGAAATATCACCCTGAGTTACTTTATTATTAAAAAAGCAAAAACTTTTTAATATATTTAAATCATTGAATTGTGTGGTACTGTTAAAGAAACAAACTCACTGCTATTAAGTTGTTTCTGATGCTTAGTGGCCGTGAAAACTTTATAGTAGTTAACTCACTGCTCCTTTGTCCTTCAGTGTAAAGTACACCATTAATCTTTCTGTTTTAAAGATGTCAGCATTATTCAATGATCATTATTTCATTACAGGTGGTAAAATAGTAATTTTCTCATTTGATTATTCCTTCTACATTTATTAGGAGCTTGATGGCATGGTGGGTTACACATTGGGCTGCTAACTACAAAGGTCAAACCACCAACTGCCTTTCAGGACAAAGATGAAGCGTTCTACTCCTGTGAAGTCACAGTGTCAGAAACCCACAGGGACACTTCTACTCTGTCCTATAGGGTTTGAATCAACTCAATGGCAGTGAGCTTGGTTTTGAGTATGTTTTCTACAGTTATTAGGTAGAATTCATCTTAAGACTAACCATAGCTTCTCTTAAAATTTGGCTACCTTGAAACATAGTTTATACAGCAAAAGCAGGATGTATGTATATATGCATATATATATGGATCTTTAGTTTATCAATTTTCAGAATACAAAGTTGATGTCTTAACCTCTATTGACTTTTTATTTTGATCAATTGACTTTTAAAATTGGATTAACTTTAATACATTAAATTCACTATTTGTGATGGTGAATTGTTAACTCTTAGTCCACTTTAGGAGGAGGGAGCTTTGTTGGTTCATTGGTAGAATTCTCTATTTGAATTTTGGGAGCTCTGAGTTCAGTTTCTGGCCAAGGCCCTTCATGACAGCTATCATCTGTCATTAAAGGCTGAGTGTTTTTGTTGCTAATTTCAGTGGAGCACTAGGCAGAAAGGCATGGTGGTCTATATCCAAAAATCAGCAAATAAACATGCTGTGATTTATACTGGTGTAATCTATAACTGATGGATATAACACAGGACCAGACAACATCAACAGCTTTTGTGAATGGCATTACTATGGGTCAGGGCCCTCCTTGATAGCAACTCACAGCAACAACAGTGACTTTAAATAACATATTTAAATTATCTGGTCATTGTTCTTGTTGCCAGCTGCCATGGACTAGACTGTATCCATAGCACCCCTTAATGTTCAGAGTGGCACTGCTCCTTAGAGTTTTCAAGGTTGTGCCCTTTGAGAAGCAGAAGACCTGTCTTCCAAGGAGCTGCAGGGTGGGTTCAGACCACCAACATTTCAGCTAGTAATCACAATGTAACAATTTGCCTCACTCAGGATTCATCTGTGTACCTCCTTATACATATATCTACTCAATTCATTGCCATCAAGTCAATCACAACTCATAGTTCCCATGTTGGACAGAGTAGGATGACTTGACCTTCAGGGGTTTCTAAGACTGTAACTCTTTTTAGGAGTAGAAAGCCT